AGCCACACGTGCTCCCCCTCTGTGCTTGCAACACCAGTCTTCTCTCAGTTCTTGAAGCATGGCAAGCCCTTTTCCACTCCAGGGCCTTTGAACATGCTGTTGTCATCATCTAGAATGACCTTTCCCTTATGCTTTTCTTTTGGGTCTCAGCTTAATGGTCACTCCTCGGGGAGACCTTTCCTGCACACCTTATCTACAAAGGTCCCTCCCTACCACTGCTTTCTGTGCCACCTCTTGTTGGTTTCTTTTTACTTACCCTAAATTATTTTTTTAATGCTTTATTTATTTTTGAGAGAGAGAGCGTGAGTAGGGGAGGGGCAGAGAGAGAGGGGCACAGAGGATCTGAAGTGGGCTCTGTGTTGACAGCAGCGAGCCTGATGTGGGGCTAGAACTCATGAGATCCTGAGATCCTGAGGCGAAGTTCGATGCTCAACCGACTAAGCCACCCAGGTGACCCATTTACCCTAACTTCTAATTATTTAACCAATTTTTTTCCTCTGCATCCTCTGTTAGAAAGTAGATTCTACAAGGGCAGGGCATCATCTGTTCACTGCTGTATCTGTAATGCCTGGCAATCAGTTGGTGCTCAGTCAGGCTGAGTGAATAAATGAATACAGTCAAGAAACATTGGTGAAGCAGCAAACACTATGCCCAGTTCAGAGGCTACTACGATGGAAAGTACAGATGTGAACTTTGCATTGTAGTGACGGAGAGACCCCAAACGAGGACTTACAGTACATGTGATGGTGGTGAGAGCAGGGGAGGTACAGGGTGCTGTGCGAGCACCTGGCAAGGTCACCCATTTCGTACAGAATTAGGGAAGGCTTCCAGGAAGAAACAACATATAAGCTGAGCCCAGAAGGATAAATAGGAGTTCACCGGGTGAAGGGGGGCTGGAAGATGTTCCAGGCTGAGGGGAGGCTCAGATACAAGAGGAGCATGGCTCCTTGGGGAGCCTAAAAGAGGTTCAGGATGGGCAAAGCGTAGAGAGGAAGAAACAAGATGGAAGAGGTGAGACATGGCTGGATCAGGGTGGGTTCTCAAGCTATGATAAGGAGTTTGAATTTTATCTTAGGGTCAGTTAGGACATCTGAGTCAGAGGGAATGGTATAATCTGATTTGTGTTTTCTTGAAATGGCCCTAGAGCAGTGTGGATAAGAGGAAGAAGATTGGAGGCAAGGGAGATCAGGAAGCTAGTGCAAGAATTCAGGCAGGAGATGAGGCTGGCTTAGCAGAGCAGTAGTGATGAGGGAGTGAACTGGATGAATTTAGGCCAGAAGGCAAAAGTTGGGATGGGGGAGAGAATCAAGGATGATGCCTAGGTTTCTAGCATGACTAACATGGTGAATGGGCATTGTTGGCAAGAACCAGATGCCTGGTACGCGTGTCGTAAGTGTGTGCTTGATACAGTGGAAAAGGACTCAGTGCAGCACTTTCCTAACAGTGAGCAAATATCAGCTACTTTTAGTTCCTGGGTCTACCTACAAGTTGATCTACCGTTCTCTACTGCCTCCACCTGCCTTGGGTTACCTATCTGTGACTTGTCAGTCTAGTCTGAGCTCCCTATTTCTAATCCACAGTCCCCACTGGTCATCAGGACACTCTGTCCCTCTGCTAAGAAGTGTGCCTTGTGCCTTTCCCCGGCTCTCTTTCTGGCCACCGGTGTTACAGCCAATAATGTGACTGTGATTTTTCATTAATTTTCTGGGCATTTTGCAGTTAGAGTAACAGTAAAATTTATACTCAATAATATTATTACAATTTTCCACTACTAATGGGATTATTATTTTTGTTCATTTGTGTTTGAAAGCCATTAGCATAAGATTTACCTCCAACAATATCCGCTGTGATTTTTAATGCCCTTGAAACTTGCAAGTGAGCGATAAGTCTATAATAAGAGAATGCGAGTAAGCATATAAATGTCTTTCTTGGGAGAAAAGTGCCTTTTTTTCCATCCTGGTTGGACTCAGGGTCTTTGATAGAGCGATTGGTAGGATATAAGGCATTATAGGCTGAGAACACTGTGTTAGTTTGTAGATGTGTTCAAACAAGTTCCCAGTTATTCAGAGGACACTTTTATATTCTGGGAGGATTCATATTCTTGCCCTTTTTTATGTTGTTTCTTACCTGACTTACAGAAAATTATAATAAATTATGTGTTTGCAGGGAACAATATTGAGAATTATGAACAGTTTGGAACTAAAGGGGCCTGGAAATCACTCTCTCTGGATGACTTTCCAAGGGGCTGTGGGGCTTGATGCACTGCTAGTGGAGCTCTGGAAACAGGGATTATTTCAGAGGCTGGTGAGAGGGATTTCTCTGTGGGGTGGCTGTACCTGGCAGGGGAGTGGACTGCCAGGGCCAGCTTCAAGGGTATGTGACCAGCAGACTCCCAGGACCCCGTGCTATGAAATTCACAGCATCGAGTACCTGGGTGGCTCAGTCAGTTGAGCGTCTGACTCTCGATATCTCAGATCAGGTCATGATCTCATGGTTTGTGGAACTGAGCCCCACACTGTCAGTGCAGAGCCTGCTTGGGATTCTCACTCTCTCTCTGCTCCTTCTCCACTCACATGCACGCTTTCTCTCAAAATAAATAAATAAACTTACAAAAAAAAGAGAAATTTATAGCATTACCATCTTAGAATTCTTAAGTCTTGAACAAGGGACCCCACTATGTACTAGGCCCTACAAATTATATATATGGTACTGTGTACAAGCTTTGAGGCAAGACAGATTTGGGTTCAAGTTCTCGTATTCTCTAGCTATTGACTGGGGCTCAGTTTCCCTATCAGTAAAACTAGGATAATACTACTGTCTTCTCAGACTAGACATCAGAGCTAAAAGTAGATACCAGCACCAGAGGGCCTGAAAGACAGTGACAGACCCTAAGATATGTTCAGTGGGATTTTAACTCCCATGTGAAGTATTCATAATTAAACTTATTATGATTTAATGTCAGGAATACTGGCCAGTTGGGATAGGCAGACCGTGTGGCACAGAAGCTCATCCCATGTGTGCTGGTTAGAAACCCATCAAGCAAGGAATGTTTTCCTAAGGGGGATATTCTAAGGCTGGGGGTCCCATCCATCAGCTTCCAACCTTTTTACTGCTATGACACATGATAAATAATGTTTGCTGGCACAACTGACCCCAGTTTCTCATGATTCATACATGTTTCCCTTCTCTCCAGAAATCTCTCAAGAAGGACACTGAAGGAGACTGGCATTATGAAGAAAATGCCCTTGACCTTGACCTAATTTATTTTCAAATTTTAGTTTTTCAACTATTATTTGTAACAAATGTGTTTGTGTGTGTTGTTTTATCATTCCACACAATGGAACTTGACAAGCCAGTGTACTACAATCCTATGCTTGAGAACCAGGAACGTGGACCCTCAGGATTGCAAACAAAGGGTCCTCCCCCATGACAGGCTGGACAGATTAGGACCAAGATGATTCATTTCAGGGCAATGGGTGGCCCAGTCAGTTATGCATCTGATTTCGGCTCAGGTCTTGATCTCATGGTTTGTGGGTTCGAGCCCTGCAACTGGCTCTGAACTAACACTGTGGAGTCTGCTTGGATTCTCTCTCTCTCTTTCTTTGCCTGCACCTCCCCTACTTGTACTTACTCTTTTTCTCTCAAAAATAAATAAATAAAGTTTAAAAAAAAGATGGCACCTTCCATGGTCTCACAGATGAATGTGCCATGCTATAGCCTGAATGAGTCATACCAGTTATGAGCATGCCAGTCGGAGTTAGAGAAACACTAACTAGTTGGACAAACTTGTGATGAATAACATGCAATCTTGAAACATCTGGCTAGAGATTTTTTCCCAAGAGCGTAGAAAAGGCTTTAAGTCAAATTAATAAGAAACATAAGCTAATTCCTGGGCATTTATGGACTCTGGTCCAAAAGGATTCTTCAGGAGATTATAGGAGGAGTCAGGGTGACCTGTGTTGCATTCAGTTTAAAGTTTGTGGGTAGCATGGAGTCCTGATGGGGGACTTCAAAGGGAAGCACCGGAGGCCTGGGCTGAGCTTGCCCTGTGCTGCTCAGGTCTCTGGGCACACACACGTCCTGAGACATGGGCCTAGGGTCCCCCTGGCCTCCTGCAGTCTCAGGGGATGTGGGACAGCCTCCCAGTGGCCTGTGCTGTGAAACAACCGCACCCCCAGCACACCTACTCCTTCCTTCCTCCCTCTTGAGAGCTTGTAGGAAGTGAGCCATGGCTCACTGAGCTCTCTCAGGCCTGAAGGGCTTTTGTGGGTGGTGACGTCCAGAGCTGGCCCCTCACCTCCCCGCAGTACAGCCTGTGAATGGCCATGGAAAAACGGCAGCTCTTCTTCCCAGATCCCTCTTTGGCCTCTCTCTAGTGCTTCTCATGAGAGACGATAGCACTGTTAGCCAAGCAGGTCAAAAAGAACGACGGGTTATTTCTCCCTTAACTCTCGATGGGATTGGGGGTAGGGGGTAGGCTAGATAATGGTACAGTTCCTGGGCCCACAGTACATAGTACATAAAAGATCTTCAGTCCATAACTATTATAACTAATGACCGACTAATTTGTTAAATACCTTGAGGCATAGTTGCAAAAAGCACGTGCTGATATGCAGTGTATTTTTGGAATGGTGATTTTGGTGTGGACATTGTCAGTGTCACTCCTCTGATCTTCTCAAGGATCATTGCAAGAAAACCATAATCCCCTGCACTGAGTCTCAGGAGGCCGCCTCCCACCAACACGGCCACAGCAGCCGCTTATAGCACAAACTGAAGAAGATGCAAATACAGTCAGGGAAAATCTGAGAAGACAAGATGGACATGTGTGTCTCTGTCCTCAAACTGACATAAACCCCCAAACTCAGCAAGTAGATTTTGCTCCCTATGATCCCGATTTTCCAGCACATTGTACTGTGAATTTCAAGCCCCCAGGAAAGAAATCTAAGGGATGTGTTGACTGCATTCCTGGTTTAGGGTCATTCTGTGGTTGATTTTCTTACCTGTTGCCGAATTTCTTCCTCCATTTTCACAGGTGAGCCCAATTCTGCAACTTGTTTGACACCTTCGCTAGCATAGCCTCCATACTCCCACAGCACGTAATTCTTGGAGTGGGATCCACCAATGATTGCAGACCAGTGATTGGCCCGACCTAGAAAAGCCAGTCAGGATGCAGGTATCAGTGTGGCTGTGGCTAATGTGTGAGTCCCTTAAACGCACTTGAAAGAAAGTGTAATTTGACAATTATTCAACCAGCACTGGCTAAGCCCTCACTCTGTGTTAGGCCTTGTGCTATTCAGGGATGAATAAGACCATCGCTGTAGGCAAGAAGGTCTTAGGAATATGCAGACAGGAAAACAATCAACAATAGACAGAATGATTTCCATCTGGGAGAGTTTCAGGGAAGAGTTTCAGCGAGACTTTTAAACACTGATCAGATTTGTAAGACAGAATAGAGAGGAGAGGCTCTTTCTGGCAGACTCAGAACCATTAAATAACACTGTGTGTTTGGGGAACCATAAGTAATTTAGCACTGCTGTGTCACCAACTATCAGGGGAGAGGTTGGAAACGAAGCCAGGGAGGTAGGAAGGAGCCTGCTCCTGGACGGCTCTGCCCTACATGCCTCAGGAGCTTGGATGTCATTTGAAAGGGTCTGAAACCACTGAAGGGTCCTGAGCAGGGGTATGATGTGCTCGCGTTTGAATCTTAGATAAGTCATCCAGGCAGCCATGTGAAGAATGCACTAGAGGGAGCAAAATGGGAGTGTGGAGCTGTGGGGGGTGAGCAATGAGCAAGAGTTGAGGGAATGAGTGTGGGCTTGGGCAGCTCTTGGAAATAAGCATGGTTGGCTTTGAGCTGGCTTTTCTTTGCCTTCCAGGATGAGGGGTAGGTGGACTAGCCATGGGAGAGGATGGGGAGAGGCGGTCTGGGTATGAGTAAGGCACTGGTCCACAGTGGTCCGGTGAGGATCATGGGGGAGGGTGTCTTTAGGGAATGCGTGAGGGAACCAGTGGGTGACGCAGGGGAGAAGAGAAGAAGATCTGGACAGGACCAAGATAAAACTGACTGAGGGGTTTTCCAAGTGCCAGGGGGGAGGAGGGAGATGAATGGAGAGTCAACGTCACCACCTCACTGGGTTTGTTTCTATCTGTGATGAGTGGTGTGTGTGTGTGTGTGTGTGTGTGTGTGTATATAGTGTACATATATATACACTGTACACACATACACATACATGTGTATGTATGTATATATATATATATATAAGCGAAACAAAGAATGGCTGAGAGCTGAACTGGCCTTATGATGGATTATATGTTCCTTAGCCAGCATATACATATATATGTATGTATACATATATACATATATACCGTCTCTAGGGAAATGATGGATGAACACAGTGTTTGCATTTCCCTGATGTGTAGGAAATAATGAGCAGCCGATTGGGCAGGCTTACGTAGTGACGTCATGTGCCTAGGACACAGCATGGAAGCCCTCAGCAGGCGGGAGGATGGCTTTGTGCCCATGTTCTTGCTGTGTATATGTATATATGTATACATATATATATATATGTATATGCTGACTAAGGAACATATAATCCATCATAAGGTCAGTTGAGTTCTCAGCCATTCTTTGGTTGGCTTATAAAGCCTGAGTTAAAGAACATTTTCAGGCAGAGTGAGGAGGAAAACTTGAACTGGGTAGATACAAGTGACACTTGCAGCTCACCCCCCTGTGGCCCGGGCTGACAGAACTCTCTGCTCTACCCCACTATGTAAGAAAACCATTCTGAACAGGGCCTGATCCAGTTTATATGGGCTCCCTGCTACCCCAGAGCCCTCTGCTAGAGGGGCACATCAAGATCAGGGGCACAAAGCCACCCTCCCAGCCTGCTGAGGCACATGCCCTGCCCCAGGCACATGATGTCACTACATAAGCCCGCCCAATCGCCTGCTCATTATTTCCTACACATCGGGGAAATGCAAACACTGTGTTCATCCATCATTTCCCTAGAGACAACAGATGGATATGCTGCCAGCTATTTCTATAACTCACTTCCTGGGTGAGGAGACTGTCCTGGCTGTCATCTAAGCCAAGAGCACTACTTCTATAGGGGCAAGGGCTGGGGGCCACTTGCGACCTTTGGTTCATGCTGTGAACACAGGGAGACCAGCTTCAGCGTCTCTTGCTTCCTCTACCTTGTTCCACCAAAATGCACCCTTTGCCCAGACCCATCCTGCCTGCAATTCTGCACCTCAGGGGCTTAGACATGCTGTTCCCTCTATGCTCTCTTCCTGTTTGGGTTGGCCAACTCTCATCCCTTTTTCATGATTCACCCAGAATCCCCCAGGATCCCCCAGACTCACCTATTGTCTCCTGTCTCCCCATAGCACAGATAACATTTATGATCACTGCTACACATCTGTTTTCCCACTAGACTAGAACCTCCCTGAGGAGCCCTGTCCTCAGCCCTGTGTCCCTAGTGCCTAGCCCTGTGTCTAATGCACTGTGAGTGCTGAGTGCATGTTTTCAAAAGCATTTCATCCAAACAGTCAAAGGAGAAGGTGGCAGTATATGCACTTGAAGCATTTGGTAGCAGGCCTGCACAATTTGATTCAAGATGATTAAATTCGAGTTCCAGCTCAGCAGAGTTCCTGACACCTATTGGGCTAACACACTCAGCTAACCTGCATGCTGTTAAAAAAAACAAATGCCAAGCAACAACAAAAAAGATAGGCATTGGTCTTGCAGGGATTCAAATGCTAGCATTGCCACTTTCTAGCTCTGTAAACTTGGTCAAATTCCAATTACTTTATTTCCCTGAGTCTCGGCTCCTTCCTCTGTAATTCAAGGGTGACAATGCCTACCTTACTGACCTATTATAAGAATTAAATTCAATTTTTAAAAGATGAGATAATATATGTGAAATCACTACTGACACACAATAGAAACCCAATAATTATAGTTTCCTTCTTTCCTGGTTGTTAGGGAAGCTACAAAATGAGTAAAACATGAAACCAGCCTTTTATTCAGTATAGGAGATAAGAAATCTATGTACTATGGAATAAGATAAGAGAATAGGAATGAGCACAATCACAGGGAGATGAGGGGATGCACCCAGATGGGTCTTTCTGATTTATTAATTCAACTCCCATTTACTATGTGCCAAGCTCAGTGGAGGTCCTGGACACGGGCAGGAATTGGACAAGGTGCTTGTCCTGGAGGGACTCGCAGCCTGGGGGTGGGGAAACAGATGGTTCAGCAGATTACTCGCAATCCAGCATGGTCGAGGATATTATAGAAATAAGAGCACAGAGCAGAGGGGACCGAGCAGGTGACTCCAAAGTTCCCACATCCAAGGAATCAAAGCCTAAAGGGCACGAGTACAGAGAGGCATGTACCTCAAGAGTGGGGTCTGTCTTTGTGGTTTCTTACACTTGAATAAAATGTCATTGTACCAGTTCAACTTTCCAATCAATTTAGTTGTTAGTTTCCTACGATGGTCTTGCACATTAAGTCAAATTCCAATCCATTGAACGACATCAACCATGTAACAGATATCTGCAAGGCACTAGGCTAGGGGGAGGGGCCAGACTTCTCCCTGGGGAGACAAGGCAGGTACCCAAGGAAAATAATCCACAACATTAGAAAGGGTGATGACTTCAGGTGAATGGCAGTCACTCAGGTGCCGGATGGTACAGAGAGAGAGGCACTGGTGACCAAGCTGGAAGAATTGGGCTCCAGGCCCTATGCGTGACCATGAATCAGTCATTCACTCTCTCAGAGCCTCAGTTTACCTTTTAAAAATAGGGGTAACAATTACTAGCTGGACTATCTCCCAGAGTTGTGCAAATTAACTGGGCTAGTTTTAGAAAGAACTAAGAAAAATTTAAAGAACTGTACAAAGCAAAGATCTCAGTACTATTACAGATGGAAAGTATTATGGGACTCTACAAGAGGAATCTAAAAGAAGATGGAGGAGCAAGAAAACTTTCCCAGTGGAAGGAGGCTCCCACGGGAAGACTAGCAAGACAAGAGCAGGCATTCTGGCAATGACATACATATAACGATTAAACTCCTATGAGGTGTCAGGTGTAATGCTTTCCTAGGTGTAACCCTCACTGCAACCTCATTCTCATTTTATAGATAAGAAAATTGAGACCTAGAGATGTTATGGAAACTGCTGAAGCTCACAGAGCTAGGGTCAAAACTGGTGTTCAAACCCAGGTCTGCCGGGCCTCAGAGCACACGTTCTTTTCCCTACATCCCACTGAGAGGTCAGGAAACAGAGGAGACTACTTGGTGGACTTGAGGGATAGGAGGCAAAGAGATAAGATGAAGAAGAAAGTCAGGACCGAGTCAAGGAGGATACTGAGTGCCCACTGTGAAAGGGGAGAAACATGACGGAAGTTTCCTTCTGGGAAGAATCATATGCCAATACTTAGCATGTATTAGGCCTTTATAAGTGCCAGGCACTGTGCCAGGGATTGACCTACATTATCATATTAAACACTTAAAAAAAAAAGAAAAAAGAAAAAAAAAAGCAGAACCTCTGTGATAAAGAGGCTATCAGGATTCCCATTTTTCACATGCGGAAACCCACACTTACAGAAGTGAACTAACCCAAGATCAAAGAGTAGATGAGTGAGGACACTGGGATTCAAGGTCAAATCTGTCTGGGGCCAGAGCTGCGCTCTCCACCACACTGAACCATATCCAGGATGTGCCCAGTGATGAGAAGGGAGAAGGCCCAGGGTGAGGAGACACTTCAATAATCCCTGCGTGCATTGTGTAGCATCTGACTCAGGGCAGCAGAGAGGAAATGGAAACACAGGATCAGAGGTATGAGCCAATAAGAGGGAAGATTGGTCAATCTTTGGGAGGCAGTTTGGTGAAGTAGTTAAAGCTCTGGTTTTTGAGTCAGACGATTGTGTATTCTAGACTCAGTTCTGAAACTCGGTTCCAGATTTGAGAAGTCAGTAATCACTCTCGACCTCATTTTCTTTGACTGGATACTGACGTGACCAGTCTCCTGGTGGTGTTCTGAGGCTAAAGTCCATCAAGTCATGACTAATGGCTGGAACATAAAATGGGCTTGATAAATATTAGCCAGTCAAATTAAATATGAATAGGATGGACCAAATCCAGACAGG